CAGTCAATTGAAACTAGGAGAACATTGAAACGGCTGCCTATCCTAACTAATATCTCTAAAACCATCACTCTTCATGATAATTTTAAATGCTATAAATTGGAAATGTGTTTATAAACTAGCTCTCATAGAGCACTCGAAGATTCGTTTCCGCTTGCGCGCCGCAACGAACAACGAATCATGTAGACATCTGTCGATAAAATAATCTTTATAAAAATAAAAAGTGACTTCAAGACGTTTTTAGATTAATAATTTATCTTCTCGTCCCACATTCCACACTATGGAATAATAAAAGCGCGAAACTATGATAACGTCACAGTTTTCAGAGGGCAGAAAGTCACGTAAAGTCAACATGCATACAACACAAATGGCATAACCATATAAAGATACGAATAATATTTATGTTATTATTGCGCACATTAAACACCTCAAATATATTGTAAACTCTTATAAATCTTTGTTTGCGTAATTTGTATTTTACTATCAAGATAAAGTAAAGTCTACATATCACGGAAGTACGCCATTTGAGCTATTAGTTGTGACGATAACCCTGTGAAAAACAGTGAATCAAATTCTTAATTACAAATTGTACACTGCGATTTACCTAAACTTAATTCCTAAAGTAACAAATGTGTGAGGATGAATCATCAATATTTTTTATCTTTATAAGAAATGAAATATTTCTGTAAAGCGGAAAATTGTAAAGTTCATTGACTGGATGCAGGAAATACAACAGACGAGTCAATGTTGATTTTACTTCTTATAATAATGATTATGTGCGTTTACAGCTCGTCCTTCCTTGGCACATCATCGTCCTCATCTTCTTCCTGAGCCTGTGACGAAATAAATAATGAAGAATAATTGTAATATAAGATTATGCCTCATAAAATTCTAAAAGATATTCTGAACATAATTTATTATTTTTTTAGCAAAAAATTTTTGTATTCCTTTTATAATCCTTTTCAATTAAAAATAATTCCTTAACATACCTCTTCTGCAGCTTCGCCATACGCGCCACCGCTTTCAATAAATTTGGAAAGACCTTCAAGCGTCCTCTCTCCGTTATATTCCACAGCCTACAGCAACAAAATAAGTTATCAAAATAAATACATTTCCAGCGTAAATATAAGGTTGAGGAATGGATGTACGAAAGGTTCGTACCTCATTCGTCTCTTTCTTATAGAGTGTCAGCGTAGGGAAGTTCAGAACCTTTATATCCTCCAACTCATTAGCAGTGGCATCCATTTTTGCGATGACCAATTTATCGTTGTCCTTGTATTTTTCGCCAAGCTAAAATTAACATGTTTGACGATTAACAAAATTACTTGACAATTAACAAAATTACTTGTATTATCTATATCTATTATAGTTAAAATTCCAATATACTTGGTCATAAATGGGCGCTAATTGCTGACAATGACCGCACCAAGGAGCGTAGAATTCAACAAAAACATCCTTTTTCTTGTCAAAGGCAATCTCGTGGAAGTTTGTGCCGACAAGAATCTTAACCGGGTTCTTGTCCCAGTCCTCCGGCAAGTCTTGGGTAAGCAGATGTCGTTTCAGTTTGCCCTCTACGAAAGCAGTGACAAATTCCAGGACATTCTCGGTGGTTATCTCTGGTTTATCAGGCTTGTACTTAGCCATATCCTGTTCAAGCTTGATAAGCCGCATAGCGGGCACATCATCTTTTTTCAAACCGAAGAACTCCAGAATTCGTTCGTGATCGGTTTCATCACAATTGATTGTCACAAATAAAACCTATGCATAGATAATTTGAAATATTATATCGATTTGAAGTATTATATCATTTTTTTAAATAATATAGTGAGATGAGTGATGCATAAACTTTCATACCTCGCTACGGTATTTCTTCGCTGGCTCTTGAATTCCTTCGATATATTTTTCAAAGTGACCGGCTTCTTTACTGAGGAAAAGCAACAAATGGCTCTTGATATCTCCACTGAAGATCTTCTGCGCCGTATCCTGGTTGAATTCGACAACCAAAGGTAACGAAAATACGGAAATGAAATTCTGTACAGCTGTAGTCGTATACTCTCCATCAAAGACGGCTTTACCTTCATCAAACTACAAATAATACGGATTAATCAGATTTGAGATTACGATTTCAAAAAATAGAAATTTATTTGATTCGTATTGTTTTATAGAATGCATTGGTATAGACATACCTTCTTAAATAGCACGATCTTTCCATCTTCAATTCCGTATTCGCTGAACACTTCGTCGGCGCTTGTAATACCAAACACATGATCATCTACTATGCTACCAACTTCCAAGAATATCTTGGCGGCATCACTTGTAACGTCCTAATAAAGTCGTTATATATGTATATAAACAGGTAAGGCTGTTGCAACAGATTACTCCTAATTATTATAATAATTTATAAAAATGAAAGATATTCAGTATTAGTAGATAAAAAATATAAAATTATTGGCGTGAGAAAAGGATCACAAAAAGAAAGATTGCGATTGTACCTTAAAGAATCCAACAATGGCGACTTTGTGTGCCTCGATAAATGCTTTAGCTTCATCAACCGTGGTCAAATCTTTAGCAGGAGGACCAGTTTTCTTGAGCAGCCAGTTCACAATTTCGTCAGCCTGACGGCCACCGGTGTAGTCGATCTGGATTCCTTTACGGTAAAACTTAAGAGTAGGGTATCCTCTTACTAAGTGTTTCTCAGTGAGTGCCGATTCGACTGTCGCATCTATTTTGCCCAATTTGATTGGTGAATTAGTTTCCTCTAATTTCTTTGCCGCTTTAGCATACTCGGGTGCCAGTGCTTTACAATGTCCACACCACGGGGCATCTACAAGAAATATACATGTTATATATGTATATAAATAGGTAAGTGATTATAAGTGATTATTTTTTAGTATTCCTGATTATTATAAAGTCGTTATATGCTAATAATAGTTTAAAATGTGAACTATTAGTAGATAAAAGTAGAAAATTATTGTCATGACACAAGGAACGTAAGAAAGGATGATTATAATTATATTTTAGCCTTAAAGAATCCAATAATGGTGACATTGTGTACCTCGATAAATATACCTCAGCTAAATTACATGTAATTTAGATAATTATATAAATAATTACCTAAATGCTTAACACAAATCTAATTAGCCTCGTATGTTGAACAAAAAAATGTTATCAAACACTTACTACAAAGTTGTCGACAAAAAGGCACCAAATTCAATGCAAATTTTGTTATATTTTATGAAATTGGTAGAAAAATATACAATAAATTTGCTAACAAAATATAACAAAATAAATTGAAGGTAAAATTATACAAAGCTTACTAACAATCTGATAAATTATCAGATAAGAAATTAAGGAACCGATCAAAACCAAACTAAAGTTTTGCTCGATTTGTGTTCAGCAAAACTTAATATGGATATACAAACTTAATATGGATATAGTTAATGTTAATTTGATGAACATTTTGATCAAATTCAACAGCAAATTGCAAATATTTTGACTGAGAATAAGCGAAGAAAGCTCAGTCAAAATCTTGGTGTCTATTAATATTTTTAAATCTTACAAATATAAATGTTTATTACAACTTGGAAGTACTTATTGGCATATAAGAGATATATATATAATCATCCAATTGCAATTTCTATTTCAATATTACAAAATTTAATTTTTCAAATTTACATTTCCTCATGATTGATAAGTTAAATCTAAAAATCATTCTGTGACTTTATATCGGAGAGTAAGATATATTAAGATTCATGGATTTTGAAGGAATCAAAATTGTTCAGTTCTAAAAAATAAAATATAAAAAAAAAAGAAAAATATCAGAGAATCATCTAATGCTGCTTTATTTCAAAAATTTAAATCGTATTCTCAAAATGTTCTAAACATTTCCTCGTTAACATGAAATTATTGGGATACCATATGGTCGTTTTGTTTTGAAGTCAAAGTGGTAGATAGCGATCTAAAATTGATAATCAGCGTATCGAACTTTGATAAGAGAAAGCAATTAATTCTTTCCGTTAATGCGTCGAATTTGTATCATTTACGAATGCTACGTCTGTATAAATATACAATATGTCCGTTACATCCGTCATTATCCTCATCAACACCATTATCCTCATCAACACCATTATCATAACGTGACGTTACATTCATCTCATAATTGTCAGACGATTTGCAAGACATATATGATCATGTATAACGGTAAAAAAAAAGCCAAGAAATTAGAACCGTCTTTACAGCTGCACTTCCTGCACTCGAGCTCTCGATGAATGCGTGGAATGAGGAGATACAGAAAGATCAACGGAGAGAAAAATGTTAGAAACAGAGGCTGCGAGGAGACGACTGAAGGACGCGATGAAATATCGATAAATAAATATAGACGACCGTCTCGAAGACGCACGTCGTCCAAACATGGATCTTCTCGGCATTTTTTGCAATTTTTTTTTTCCTTGTGACCGATTTCCATAGATTTCTCCATCAAACGCTGAGAAAAGCAGAAGGAGGGGAGAAAGAGATTGCGAAAAGAAACTGATGGAATTCCAAAAAAGATTTAGAAGAAGAAAAAGATGGAGTATTTCGGTCGAGGGATGATCATCGCTGAAAAGTCGCATGTCACTAACCGGTCCCCCATCACTGTCCTCGAGAATACTCGAGTGATGACGTGTACGGGATTCGCATCTGGCAGAACCGGCGAATCTGCGAGCGAGTCGGTAAATCGCACGGTATCAATATTTCTGACGTGGATTCATCTTCCTCGACGTTCCCATCAACTTTGCCTCTTCCAGCCTCCTTCACTTTCCGATGTTCTTCAATCATCTCCGGTCGCGAGTACAGAAAGTGCAGGCGCGAGGGTGTAATTAAATTCCTCCACGGAAAAGCAACAGATACAAAGCATACGAATTCGGTGAGCGCACGCGAATTCGCGATTCACATTCAGAACGCGCTCCAAGGAGATCGGGTTACATTCAGAAGAACTTCATCCGGGTATTATCTTATCTTTCTTCATCGAATGTTAAACAAGGAAAATGATACCCGAACCAGAATGATACCCATCCGGTACAAATTAAGTTCTGAATACAACCGAAGAGCGCAGCAGATGTACATATCATACTCACAAAACTCTAAAAGCACGTAATCGTTGTCCTGAATGACGCTGTCGAAGTTGTCCTTGGTGACCACAAGGACCCCATCCTCGACTTCGATCTTGGCGAGAGAGATCGCGACCAGGCAGAGTGCCGCCAAACAGAATACATCGACTTTCATGACGATCCGAATACCTCACTTTCTTTTCTTTTGTCTGTCTTTCTCTCTTTCCTTCGCGTTTCCTGCGCGTCGAAGCGCGACCTGCCTCGCTGAGACGAAGACGTCGTCGGGGACAAGGACAAAAGAAACCGGGAAGACACCACCGTCCGCGAGGAGAACGCGCGATGAATGAGCGAGCGCGACGCTGCGTCGGTGGGTTGGTTGGAGGCTGAGGTTCTCGAGTCTCGTCTCGCGTTGGCTCCGCGGTCTCATACGCGTGGCATCGTCCTCATCGTGGGGATCGCTGATTGGCTGCCTCCCCCGGCATCCGCGGCCACTCGTGCGTCATCACTCCGACCTGACTCCGACCGCGATGGGCATTACCCACTGCCGCGCCGGTCGCGAGATTTCAATCCCAATTAGTTCTCGATTTAACTTAATTAATTGTATGACCACCTTGAAACGAGATAAAAATGACAAAAGCGAGCAAATTCATTAAATATTGATCAATAAAATTATAAATATTCCAATAAATTCATTCACTTTTATAATTTATTTTATCTCATTTCGAGATGTACAATTGACCTCCCGATGGACGATATGGACGATATAAACGTTAAGCTCGCAAATCAGTAACAGAAGTAATCGTTGACAGATTAAAATAGCAACGAAATCGCGTTTTTTTTTTTACGAAAACACGATTTGACCTTGGTCGAAATCAGCCGCGGTTATCGCCATGAATTACCGTTCGACGATTAACTCGAAAGTAATTTCTCGGACAGATATAATCGAATAGGACGAAAGTCAGTTCGATTTTTATATTTTCTTTATTTATTCTTGCATTGATTAATTCAGATATATTGTTTGAGCAATTTGATATTCAACAAATGGATAATGGAGTTTTGAAAAAGCTCCAGTACGTAGTGTTTTATCGACGGCACTTGGCTGTCAAAATCACGTGGCGTCGCAATGGCGCCGTATAGTAAAGCGATATTGGCGATTTAACGATTTAACGATGCTGGATAATGCGGTCGAAGTCAGGAGAGACAAATGGGCTAGATTTTAAAGTCCGCAAGATCTATAGACATCATAAAGGCAAACAGATTAAATTCAAATGACTCCGATCTCGATTTGATCGAATTAAAAAGTCATAACCACAATCTGTTAACGTTCGTGCAATCGTATGGTTGAAGTAAATGGCAAAATGACAGGCCCAGCTGACGAAAATGCCACGAGGAAGGCGGAGATTGAGATCACATCGTTGAGGAAACGACGCGCGACGCAACGATTGTCCACCAAAACGCGTTCCAAGGTGTAACAATTAAGTCTTTTTAAGATTCATAAAACAATTGATAATAGTATAATATTTTTTTCTTTTTATTTATGATTCTCTTTGTGATTCTCAAGAATATACGTTGAGATTCATTACGTTTTCTTTAAATGGAAGTGATTGATTTGAAAATAATTATCTAGTTTTTCTAAGTAGACAATCACCTGAGATGTTTTTACATCCCAAAAGTTATTATTAATTATATAATACATATTAATCATTCTACAAATTATTAGTATAGATTTAGTCTAAATCCATAAAATTTTTGCATTTAAAAAGATATATATTTTGGTGAAGAGAAAACAAAAATTATAAAGAAAAATATGCAGAAAATATAAGTAACACTAGCATTTGAGATCATTATGTGTATAGATATAGATTCAATATTTTTTAAAAAGTAAAGTGTAGATTCTCAATCAGCAAGGAAAAATTACTATAGATGAGCTTTATTTTCTTGCTGTTGAAGTACAAAAAAATCAGGTGATTATTCCTTATAAATTACAATAAAATATAATCTTTTTGAAACAACAGATGTGGTAATAAAAGCATGAGCGCATGAAAATTGATAAAAATTTTATTCTCGTATAAATATTTATTGTTATCGATACATTTTATTGTCACTATAAAATGCGTATCTTTTGTCTTCGAACAATAAAACTCTACAATCAAAAAATTATTGTAAATTGAGCAAAACAAGATTTTTTTAAACAGTGTAATTTAACTTTGAAGATTGAATGTAGATTACTCAATATAGTAATAATACAGAGCAACGTGATAGTATAAGATTATGGATTATATAATTGTCGTGTTAAGACACAAATTCCCGAAATAAATGCAGTCACGAGGCTATAATATTGGTCAGTCACGACGCGCTTCATTATCGTGTCGTGAGCGTCGCAGCACGAAGTCGATTTATTTACGCGCGTTAATCCCCGACTCGAGAGATGCTTCACCGAATTTTTATCATTAATATATCTATATTGCAAACGAATTAGTACGAATTAGTTATGAGTGAAATATAATGAGCTATTATATCATCTACTCTGTACATATATTAAATATCGATAAATTAATAATGAAACTGTTTGATGGCCTATATAAATAACCCGTAATACGATAATTAATAATTACATAATATCTACTGATCATCAATTTAAAAAGAAATAAAAAAAAAGTTGATTAACGTTGATTTTTTTGTTTGCTAAGACGGCGATGCATAAAGTAACATCAGAAATATACACAGAAAATGATCAAATCTCTGAGGAGCTTGACAATGGCAGTAAGTTATGTTTAACGAATAATTGGATGATAAAAAATGCTTAAAGCATTATTTTTATCATCCAATTATTCGTTAAACTCCTAACGTTCAACAATTGGTTTCAGATGCGATGACTGAATTCACTTTTAAATGCCCATCTTACATGATTGAGGCAGAAGCCACAGCTGAGACGCTAAATTATGACAGTGACGATGATCTAGATGTAGATAGAGACAAAGAAGGAGTAATTCTAATAGGTACAGAATCAATTATCGTGTATTCTCGTGTGTATAAACATATTCAGTAAATTGTATTTACAGAGCATAGTGTATCTACAGAGCTCAATTTAGTCGGTTTACAAGTATGGAGAGCCGCTTTCTTGTTAGCCGACTACATTCTATCGCATCAGGATTTGTTTAGAAATCAAATAATTCTAGAATTAGGATCTGGGGTTGGTCTAACCAGCATCGTAGCGAGTTACTTAGCTAAGGAAGTCATTTGCACCGGTAATGAAAATACTGTTAAAACCCGTCTGTTGAAAATTTCAAACATATTTGTTCAAATATTCCAGATATCAATGTAGGTGATATACTAAATCTAATTGAACGAAATTTTCTGAGGAATTATATGTACGTTAGATCCGGTTTTCATATCGAGGAAGTGAATTTTTTAAACTTAGAATGGCCGAAAAAGTTGGAGGAGAAATTGCAAAGCGCAAATATTGTATTGGCTGCAGACGGTAAACTTAATAATTGTATATTTCAACAATGTAAAATAGATATATAAGAAATGTGATTATCTCTTTTTTTTATTTATAGTGATATACGATGACAAAATCACGGATGGATTTGTCCGCACATTGACGAAACTTCTATATACGAAAAAGAAAAAGATAATTTACATTGCTCTCGAGAAAAGATATGTTTTCACTGTCGCCGATTTGGATACCATTGCTCCAATGTACGAAGAATTTTTACGTTGCGTCGAAAAGTACAAAATGAATTGGTCTGTAGATTACATTAATATAGACTTCCCACGCTACTTCAAATATGATAGAGTCAAACATTTGGTTTTAATGAAGATACAGAACAATACAAGATCTGTTGCACATACATAACGAATAGTTTTTTCAATTAGATACGCAAATAATATATTACGATAACATGTAATATGTTATCATAATTATCATAAAGTATGACAATATTCTAAAGAGAAAGAGAACTTGCCATATTAAGAACAAGATCTCTATGCATATTTAACAAAATATAGTATCACAATTAATGTAAGTTGTAAAAAATAATTATATATTTAAAACAAGATTGTTTAATGAACATGTACGTTTGTCAATACATAATACGAAACAAACGGTAAAAATTTAGCACAATTTTTGAACATGATTTAATTTAAGCTAAAAAATTTCGAAATCATTCTTTTAATCCTTAGATCATTTTACATAACGAATAAGAAACGATAATCTAAGGATTAATAAAAGGAAAAAACATAGATATTCGGAGTGTGTGATAAAAATGACTATATAATATACATTTCTCACGTCCACATATTTATTTCGTCATTTAATTCCCTATTTACAACCTACCATGGATAATATTATTGGACAGTGAATTGGAAGTCGCTCGAAGAGAACGATAATTCCGTTGAACTTAAATGCTCCGGCGGCATGTCCTAAGATTAAAAAATTTCATTAGACTACCTACAATATAAAGAAGACAATATGTATATAGGAATGTAAGCGCTTCTTCGAACGACCACGGCAGTAGAAGTTGTATATGTTACACGCAAAGTCATAACATTTCTAATATGATATACTAGAGGTCTGAATCGCTCGCGAAAAAACGACGATCACTAAAGAATGAGTCGAATGATTAATCTCATTAATTATAATCGAACTGAGATGATTTCATGAATTTAGGAATAACGATTATTATGAATAACTATTATTATTTCTTAAGTATCGTCGACCCTCGCTCTGCGAATTCAGGCCTGCGCTTGGTTTGGTAAAAGGCACTTTCACTCTACCGATCCGTCTCGATGTAGAAAATGTAAAGTATAATTTACAGCCTCACAGATTTTTTTATATTTTTTTATGTACGTGTATGTCTGTGTGCATATATATTATGTATTATATACATAATTATTATATATACATATATGTATATATAATTATTA